GAACATTCTACGATTCTTCGAGGCCGAATGTGCCGATGACGCGAAAACCTGTATCATACCTTTCGTGAATTTCTAATACAGAAAGCATCACGAGCCTGCGAACGAAAGGCCACGAACAGTCGAATACCTGCCGGTCGCGAGGCCATCAATGCGTCGCTGACTTCGCGTGCTCTCACATGCTCCTTTCCCGCCAAAACATCGCGTTTCAAAATAAAGGAGACAGAGCAGTCGTGAGGCCGCAATATGTGGAGCTGGTTGTCCCGGCTCTCACAGAGAGGTTCCTTATCCATTTCCTCTCACCCAAGACCGCCAAAAAATACCTCGAATAAACTTGTCTAATTTTAAGTAAATACAAAAGATGAGGAAGGGGTGTACTGAGAGACGCGTCTAAAACGCAACTCTCTTTTTATGCGTCGCCGTGCGACACAAAAGACAACATTCGTGCACTCACCTCTTTCTATTCAGAAACATATTGCTGCATCGTCTCGGGGTGAACATTCAAGAATCACGTAATCCACCCGCACACGAGAGTGGTGAATACGTAGTGATTTAAACAATATGGCCACCTCACTACCCTCGGAAGTCTTAGAACACTCGAGACGCGATGCCTCGAGCGAGGGGGAGAGAAATCTTTGTCAGCCACACTCCCGCGTGAATTTGTACACGCACACCTGCTTGCACCGACACGCTACGTCGCACTCGTGACTTCGCGACGATCAACGCAACGACGATCGCGTCCCACCGGTGGCCCACGTCAAGTTTTGACAGTCTGATTTGCTGCGAAGCGTAGATCACTTCCCGCGACGCGACGCCGCGAGACGATTATCTCTATTAGAATACTACAATTCCCATAGAGTCATCGACGCCAGCGGAGATCGACCCCGTCGCGTCGGTCATGTAGTTCTGTATTCACATCGCATCCCTTAATTTATTTGTGAAAGAAATGTATCGATAATACATTATAGTTCCTATATAACCGACGATGGCAAAAGAAACTTTTATTTTTTTATAAGGCTTTGTTCCAAAATTTACGGTCAGTAACGGAATTCTCTAACGTTTTATCGATGATTGTCGCTATCGTTAGTTAGCGATAGCCAATGGGAGGACTATCCTGGAAGAAAGCGCGTCACTCATTGGCTATCGCTTATAGCTAACGATTGCGACAATTGTCGATAAAACGTTTAAAGAATCCCGCAATTAATGAGATTCTATAATATAATAAATGTGATGTAAATAATATCGAGGTGCCATTGTTTTTCCCCTGAAAAAATTAGTGCAACACTGGTGGCCAAAGAGAACATGAGCCTTTTTCCTGTCGCAAAATGCCCCCGTGCACTACTGCCCTCTGAAGAAGTGGATGTAAACTACACAACACCCAGTGAGAAATGACAATGAAATCGATGTTGACAATGAATTCGACGTCGAATTGATTGTAAGGAAATTCGATTCGATGTCGATTCTATTATCATTTTTCTCACTGGATATCCATTCTTTTGCAGTACTCCTGATGGAAATAAATCACTGAAATAATTATCCAGCAAATGAGAATGGATTAAAATCAATTGAAATTTTTTTCTATCCGAATGCGTATTTTAAATAGCGAATACTTTTTTTTTATTCAATTGAATGCAATTGGATTGAAAAACTGCATTTCCTATTCAAAATTTTGAATTGAACAGTATTCACAATAGTGTATGCAGAAAAAGCTAATATTATTTTTAGATTGAAAGGCACAGAGATATGCTCCATGCAATTTCTATAAATGAATAAAAATGCATTCAGGATTGAAAAGCATTCATTTTAACATTTGTGAATCAATATTTCTGAAAATCTGAATCCTCTTTCAATTCATTTCAATCTATTCTCGTTTGCTGGGATGTAACATAAAAAAGGGATGTGACATAAAAAAATAAAAGGATAATTTTTACATTATTTGTTTTAAAAAAAATCAAATTTAAAGAAATGTTAAAAAATTACTTATAATTATATATATTAAATTATGCATAATTGTGTATGAACAATTTTTTTTACATTTTTCCAAACTTATTTTTTTCTAAAATAAATAATAAGAAAATTATTCTTTTAATTATTTTTGATGTTTTCACATTACTATTATTATTTCTATTACACTAAAAGTAATTTTGCAAAAGAAAGAGGGATGTATATTTATACATATTCATTAATACATATTCATGTATAAAAATTTTTTACTGAGACTGAAAATATATAGATATGTTTTGTATTCAATTGCATTCAGTGCGAATCGGTGTTGCATTAATTTCCAGGTTTTCCCAGTGGAAAATACTAACAAATTTTGCAAATAAATTTGGAACACAGCTTATTACCTAATTGTAAAAAACATGAAACAATTTAATTATTAAATCGTGCCAGACAAAACTAGCAGCAAACGAAGTTCTCATTTGATGACAGCGGCTGTGTTCCAAAATGTACCGCCAGTGCTAAAAATATACAGTATACGTGATGGAAACTATAGATTTTCAGCTGGCAGTGAATTTTTTAACACAGCCACTGTAGTCATACCAGCATCGCTGGTCACATAGTATATTGCACATAATAGGCCAGTTTTTCGCGCCAATTTTACATATTCTCTTGATTTTTTCTTTGACATTTGCAATAACATAGGTGTCAATAATAAACGGATGATTTGATTAAAAATGAAGTTCAAAGGCAAAATGACAGATGCAGGTGCCATGCGGGACTTTACACGTAAAATTTAAATTTTATATTTCTAACCTCGTCATAGACGTCGAAGATGATAAAGTTCAGAGTTGCGCCAGAGTATTTCAAAATTACATTTACATGGAATATTTTTGTATTGTTTTCATTAAGTTTACATGAATCTTTTTCATATGTAAGACAATATAAAATACAATGTAAAATATGTAATTCCGATGAGGGTATTATAATATTTTTCGTAATAAGAATTCTTCAAATCGACAAACTTAATTTGAGATGTTTATTATTATTTAAAATGATTTATTATTATGTCAATTTGATGTTATAAATGTCTAAAAGTAATCGTAAATTGTACTTAAAATAAATTACATATCGAGTTATTCCAACATCTCATTTTGACTAGTAACGCTTCTTCAAGACTAACATTATTATGAATATATGAATTGTACTTAAAATAAATTACATATCGAGTTATTCCAACATCTTATTTTGACTAGTAATACTTCTTCAAGACTAACATTATTATGAATGGGATAATGTAATACAGAAAGAAATAATTAACTTTTGTGAATATTGATATTAATATTAATAAATAAAAATATATAAGTAAAATAGAAGTTTTAGTGTAGTCCATTACAATGACAAAAAACATAGGCTTTAAAAACATGACATGATTAGATTGTTTTTACATAAGTAACACATAAAACATAGTTTACATTGTATTCACATAGATGTTCACATAGATTATTATATTTTACAAAATGCACAACCCTGCTGAAGACTACAACGTGCTCTTTGTTTCTTATTTCTTATTATTTACCTTTTACTTTTTTTCTCCTCTTTATAACTGTTTCATCAACAATCATATATCTTGTCTCTTCCAAAGTTCTTTTAAACCTAATCTACAATGTGTTCTTTGCTTCCTACTACTTGTTTTTACCTCACATCTTTTTTCTTCTTTGCGACTATTTTATAAACAATCCCATTTCTTTTTACCAAATTCTTTAACTTTTATCTTGGTTACAGAAAATGAAAAAACTGAATAAGAAACAAAAAGGTAAGAAATAAAAAGTAAAATAAAAAGTAAGAAACGGGAAGTAAAGAGCACATTTTAGACTAAGTTTTAATCTTGACGTCTTATTGATCAATAAACGTTTTTCGTACTCTTCAGATATTGTTAGTACTATATCTCGAATGGCAAAGTACTGCGTGTTGCAATTGGCACCGACCGAATTGTGCTTCAGTGTCGGTGATGAGCATATACCCGTGCTCTGGACGGTGATCTTGCCGCAACACTTCTTTGCAGAGTATATTATGAACGGTGTGACTGAGCAGGAGAATAAGATTTACTTGGAATTCGATGCCTCTATGTTTGCCAGAAGCTTGAATAGCCTAAGAGCAATGGCGAAGAGTGTGAAAATTAAATTGACGAACAGACAACAACCTTGTCTGACGTTTGAAATTGACCTGACTTCCCTGTCCATTGACTCACGACAGTGTGTACATGACGTACCCGTGAAACTCATACATCGTAGAGATTGGCCGGAACACAAAATGCCAGATATTCCAAAATTTGATGTAAGTAGAAGACTTAATTCTTTTTAGCTGAATTTCTTGCACGATTCATCTTCTTTTCTTTTCATGGAAAAAGGAAAAGATAAACTCTGCGAAAAGTTTAACTAAAAAGGACATAAGATATCTAATAATGCAATATTTATCGTGCATGATCGAATCGGCAGAAATACAATCTCATTCCAGATATCGCTAGAAATGCCACAGTTGAAGTATCTACGGCATATCACGGATAGAATGAAAAATATAAGTTCTCAACTGATAATGATCGCCAATAAACGTGGTACATTGATATTAAAAATTGATGTGGACCTTGCTACGGTGTCCACTCACTTTAAAGGACTACAAGTTTATGAAAACGAAGAGACTGAACAAGAGACTGACGATATTTTGGCGATCATTAACATAAAGAAATTCTCTATGTTTTTGGGTTGGGACATTCTCCAGCCGGATAGTGTTAAGTGTAACTTATTGAAGGAGAAGATAGTGAAACTAACTTTAGATGTGAGAGATCATGTTAAGATACATTATTTTATACCAGCCATTGCATCTTGAGCAAAGAAAAAAATTTAGATACAGTATTACTTAAATGCAAAATATATATTTCTCATGATTCTCATTCATACACATCATATTTCATTCGTATGTTAAACTTTTCATTAAATAAGGTACTCACAAAAAATAATTTTTAAGTTTATATATATATATATATATATAAAACAAGTCGACAGCTAATTATAAGCTAAATGTAAATTCTGTTCGCTCTCTTGCCTGAAACTTTGATGCATCTGATCAATTTGTTGTATTTTCTGATTTAACAAAGCCGTCTGTTGATCCAACCATTGTAAACTGTTCATATGCGCGTTTAAAATTTTTCCAATTTGAACGATTGGATCACTGGAGTCCTGAGCGCGATTTGCTTCATTTAAATGTTCTATTATTTCCTTTAGATCTTCTGACATACGTTTCAATTGGGTATCGAGATTTTCCGACAAACGATATGTATATTCTCGATCGGAATCCGAGACAGAAAGAGACGCTAACTCCTTTTCCAATGGTACTAAACATTCTTGCAGCTCTTTCTGTTGTCCAACCTGAATGATATAATTATTTAATTTGAATGATACAAATTTTTAATTTAATTCGATGAAAATTTAATAGTTTTTTGTATTAGCATTTGTATAAATATTACAAAATTGCAAGAATACAAATGTGACTTACGACATAATCCAGCTCGTGCTCCAATTGTTGCTGTTCGATTTTTACTCTTTCAACTTCTTGATTCAGGGTTACTATTTTCTCCCCATTTGTTATCAACAATTTATCCCAGGCGTTAACTTGTGTAGCTTGATTCACAAATACTTTTTCTTGCTCCTCTAACTCTAAAGTCCACTTGTTGATAGATTCTTCAAGCTGACAGAAATTAATGGCACCTGGTTGAATACCAGTTGCAGAACTAACACTGTAATAAAAGATTTTTACAGAGAGTTAAAATTGAGCTGTTATAATAAATCGAATTTATCATTAGTAATGAATAAGGATAAACTGATTATTCTGAAGATAAATTTTGTAATAAGCAAAACTATACTTACGTAGTAGTAGTACCCAAGGAAGTATGAGTAGCAGGTGCTGCTAAACTCGTTGAAACAGCAGCAGAAGTCGTTTTGCTCAGAGGAAATCCAGTGGAAGTAGTCGTTGATGTTCCGAAATTAAATCCTGCTGCAGTAGTTGCTGCGAGAGAAAATCCAGTGTTTGAAGTTGTGGTAGGGCCTGTTTTCGAGGCATCGAATGAAAGCCCCGGTGCTGCAGATGTCGGTGCTGTACTGCTAGGAAGGTTAAAGTTCGGTGCACTCGTTGTTGATGTTGTAGTTGCAACTGTACTTCCAAGACCAAAGCTAGTTCCAGTAGTCATAGTATTTAGTGTCGGAGTACCGAAAGTCAAGCCAGTGGAGCCTTAGAAATATAACATATACATGTAATGTCTTTCTAATAGAATATATAGAATATGAGAAAAATATAATATTCGATCAACCTGTCATAGATTTTGCTGATCCGACACCAAAATTGAAACCTCCCGTTGTAGTTGTCGCAATGGGAAATCCTGTGGCTGGAGTTGTAGGCACTTTCGTGGCATCGAAGGAAAGTCCCGTCGGTGCGGGCAAAGGTGTCCCACTGCTCGCAAGATTCGTGAAACTGGGTAGACTCGACGCAGTAGATATGGATGTTGTTGTCGCGGTTATACCACCGCCGAGGCCAAAGCTGGTTCCAGTGGTCATAGTAGTCGGAGTACCGAAAGTCAAACCGGTGAGTCCTTGTAACACGAAAAGAGCCAACGTGCATCAAAATACCGAACGTGATTTTTCTCCGGAGCTAGATAAAGTGCAAAGATAATATTCCTGAAGATTTTATTCTTGCTTCGGTTCAGAATGTTCGTTGTACCTGTCGTGGGTTTTGGCGTACCGAAGGACAATCCAGTATTCGGAGGTGTAGCCATCATGTATTTCAGATCTGTTGCTGTTCCGACCGTATCCCGCCGAGAAATCAAACTTGATGATTAAATAGGTTAAATTGCGTGACTCGTATCACAGAAAGACAAACAGATGTACACACCGGTCGCGTAGTTCTTAAAGTGCTCACTTCGTGCTCATCGAATTGTCGGAAAGATCAAGCGGGACAAGTGGAGCACCAATCAATCCGACAACGACAAAATAGTGACCAATCACATCGCAGAAAAGCTTCTCCGTCTTCGTTTGTAGATTCTTTATTCGTCTCGAAGAAAATTTTGAACTGATGTACGAGTATAGCTGAACTTCTTGCATTGTTCACCTTTCTCTTTTTTCTCTCCATCTTGGAAAAAAAAGAAGGAAAGATGAATAATACAACTGAAGTTCAGCTAAAAAGAACAGATCTTTATGTATGACACTGGTGGCACAATAAATTGAAGTGAAACAAGCTATTATTTGCCGAAAAAGAATAGGTTTTAAGTTTATTTCTGCAGAGAGAAATCTCTGATTCTTGCATTAAAATTTTCTTTCTCGCTTTTGCCAAATATCAAATATGTATCTATTTCACTCATATACTTCGCCCTTCCGACGGCTCCGACTGCCACACTGAAAATCGAAAATTTATTATAGATTCAATACATACATTTGTAACATACTGTAGCATCTCTACGACTCTGTGTTTACATGATAGATGCGCAGTATATTCGCGATTGTAATTATCACGTGGTGGCGATAATAAGAAATACACCAGTGATCGATGTGCATTTCTCTCGCCTCCCGGCGAGAAACGCCGGGACTGCCGGGTGCAGCTTTATGATTCTGACGAAACAAATCAGAATCCAATCAAATCCCACGCGGGATTGTCCCAAATCTATTGTCGCGCGCGGACGTCTTGCGGACGTTCTACGTTCGGGTACGAGTTATTCATACGCCGTTCGGTGTCGTCAGCTGTGTCCTGTGCTCCGCCCATTTATTTGGCGTCTGAAACAGACCGCATTTGGAAAATCTCGGAATTTTGGATTTCCGTTTGATTTGACTTGAGACGTCACACGGGGGTGCTTGAAAATACGATCTCAGGAACCAGCGATATTTATTGCGTGGACACTTCTGATTTAAAATCTAAATCTGATGATTTAATGCACCACGGTCTGGGAATCATATATTGAAGATTTTATTAATTTTTAATATGAAGATATTTGTATCGTCTGTATATACAGATTATAGTTTAGACATTGAAGAGTGATAAAAGGTAAGTATTGTTCTGTGTTATACTTTTAATGCCCATTTGCATTAACTGTAGATTAACTTTAATCTCGGTTTAACTTAATTTCATCATTTTTTTAGTTTTAACAACTAGAATTAGAAAAAAACGGAGAGTAAGTTGAACCAGAATTAAAGTTAATCTTAATTGCGACAGAAAGAAATATAAAAAAGTTAAAAATGTTCTCTGGATGTACTTTATCACATCTTCTGCATATTTGATAATTTTGTTTGCATCTTTCTTTTTAGATTCTGTGATTTCTTTACTTAACATCAGACTGAGTACAACGCCTAATTTACCAGCAATCTTGGAAGATCTTTGTTTATTGGTTTATTTATATTACTGGTCATGAACACTAAGAAAAACATCATTTTATGAAAACAATTTATGAAATATCAATATTGAAATGATTAATAGTCGAATTTTGAATGCTATTCATCTAAGTTTTATTCGCTCATCTAAGTAAAAAATTGTAACAAATATTTTAAGCGCAATCATAATTATAATGTTGACGTTAATTGGCTTGTATGCATGCTTTTATTCATTCCGATTTGCAAGCAGCTCAACCCTGACTGCACCTCCTCTGTCAGCTCTAGTAGTCGCGTTTGAAAGCGTATATGATCTATCGTTATTAGCTAATACCTTATCGGATCAAGGGATTGATACAACATTAATAATACCGACATATACTGCTAATAATATTTACAATAAACTGATCGACGTTGAAGTGTTGCAACTGGATGTTAACATTGATAAGTCAGTGTCTGCTGAGAAACATGCATTAGAAATATGCAATATTTTTTTCAAGGATGAAGAAGTATTGAATAAAGTACAAAAATTTCAGCCTACGTTCATTATATTTCCAGCATTAAGGTAATATCGATATTAAAACCAGTTTTATTTCATTATACAATGTATTTGAAAGATCTAGGCTTCATTAATTTAATAAAATATATAATATTTCGTATGTATACTTTTACACACACACACACATATATATATATATATAT